CTTCCTCTCTCTCTCTCTCTCTCTCTCTCTCTCTCTCTCTCTCTCTCTCTCTCTCCATTAGCGATATGAATTTTCGCGTTATACACATTATACACATGGCGCCCGCGTCGATGTGTGTACAAAGTAAAAGTTAATTGAACCCGCGGCACGCAGTCAGACATGTTTACACAGCGATTTATCTCCCCGTCCGCAGAATTTTTACCATACCCGTTAGGATAATTGCCGGTGAATAGAGACTCGATTAAACGATAGTCACGCGATGAGTCACTCGTTGCCGTTATTCATATTTTTTTGCGCGAGGACTTTTTAACTGCACGCTTGTCCCGAGGTGTGAACGCGGCTTATAACTCACGGCGCATGCAACGGAGGTGAATGCAAGGAACTTAGGTCTATTAGGTCTCGCGTGTATTTGTTTCGCATTATGCTTTCGTATGAGCCTCGAGTACGCACCATCGCGCCGCCGATATATTGCGCGTTGCGAAATGGAGAGCGTCAATAAATCTCGCCAGTTAGTTGATATTTTACCGCAAGGAGTTACAATATATCTCGCCTTATCTCTCCTTATCGATCGCCTCCCCCCCCCCCCGTTCGTGCGTTTTCATAGCTAAACGGCCGAACGAATTACATAAATCCTGAAATTAAATTCGTGAAAAAACACGGTTATGCACACAATTAACGATAGGTGCTTATGCTTGCAGGCGGTTTCGGGAAATTTTATCGCGCGCAGACCCGGCGGAATAAAAATGTTTCGCACATGTACGCGTCGTTTTACATAGAGTATTTTATTATATAGCCGATTTTATCGCGAAATGTAAAACATTTCGCGAAATGCGCTCTGCTTGTGTAATTAAACTTTGAAAGATTAAACGGTAACGGTTTTGATCGCTAATGAACGACAAAACGTGAACGATCAACGACCGACGTCGCCTTTGTTTTAATTACAACGTACATTTCCCCCTCCCCTTCCCCCCCTCCCTCGCCTCCCAGTTCCCGCCGCACTGTGCGAATGACATACATTTGGTGGTGCATTCATCCGCGCTTATTAAAAATAAAGTGCCTATTTGGAAAGGAATGTTTGACAAGGTGTGAGCGCGAGCCAGCAGCGCTGGCGCATTTATTATTGCCGCTATTATGCAAGGCTGTCAATTGCGTTTTTAGAAATTAATGCCCGTGTCGTTCCCTCGCAGCACGCACAGTCTGCATTCATCGTTCTGTATTCTAAGGGCCAGGCGCACGCGACGTCGTTAAAAATTTATCAAAACGCAAGCCGCGTAAATATCGAAACGATATTTCATTTCTCTCGCCGCTTGGATCTTTCTACCTCTCCTCCCCCCTCCCCCGCCCCTCCTTCCCACCATCATGTTTTCGTAATTTATCGCACTTCCGAATTTTTACGCGACATAACGTACAACGTACGGCATAATTTATGCGATTGCGAAAACAATTAAAAGATTAATTAAAAATTAAGGAACGATTTAACTAAAAAGAAGATTATTAAGAAAAAATAATTTTATTAGTTTTTACTTTATAATTATGAAGAAATAACAGATTGACGACTCTTTATCATAGATAATAATTTTCATTTATTGTGCTTTACAATTTTTATCTGATATTAAATTTACTACAGTTTGAAGTTTGCACTTGTATTTTGTGAGCGTCTGCTGCAATATCGTAACTGTTTTACTTTTTATTTTCGTAAAAAGTTTTGGGTGTTACTGCCGCGCCGAAATAAAATGTTAAATATGCACGACGAAGATTATCACTCCGCGTAATTTTCATCTTCATTAGAAGCAGACGCAACGGATTCTAAGGACGAATGCGGGAGACATTCTCAAAAATTTATAAGACATCACCCTCTCCACGACTTTTCAAGCAGATCCTCACAAAAGCTGTCTCGCCCTGAAGTTCTGTCCGGCCCTTCCCTGCGTGTCGCACCCTCGAAATTCACCCTTCCTCGTATCCACGGTTTATGAATCTTTTAAGGAAGCATCGAGGTACTGAAAACCGACGGCGTCTTTGTTCGACGAGATCGTTCATCCGTTACAAAGCGAGATGCGTTGGGAGTTGTGATAAATCATTAAAGAAAAATCAAACACACACACACACACACACACACACACACAAACGCGCGCGCGCATATAAAATAATTTACCCTCTAATTTGCGCGTGTAAAGTTTTGCAGACGTGAAAGAAATCTGACTGCTGGGAAGTTCTGAAAAAACGATCAATATTACTAACTTTGACTTTTAAATTAATAACTTGTCTATTTAATAATCAAGATTTGTTAAATCGTAAAATGTTGTTACGTAAAAGAAAAGTAAAGCTTTCTGAATTTCTTTAAATATTCGTAACGAGGCTGTTTCGATTATGGTTTCAGCGATCATGGCGCACTTCTTCTTCCTGGCCGCTTTCTTCTGGCTGAACACGATGTGCTTCAACATCTGGTGGACGTTCAGGTGAGTCGCGATTCACTTAGCTGCCATTGCTCTGTTTTCACGAGATAAATGTACTTTCAAGCGTGAATTGAATTGCCGTACTCACGATACATTTACGTGCGATCCGTTATTCGGTGATGTCTGTTACAAAGCGTAGTTGTGAAAGGCTGTCAGGCAGGCGGCCAGAAAGATCTCTAACTTTGTATCACGAGTATCTGAAACTTTGAAAACTGAGCGATGCCTGATATTTTGGAGGGTCATAAAATTGCGCTACTGCCTTCAGAGAATAACCGGAATTTGCGGAATGCCATTATATCTCGCCACGTTATTGATAAAAATATTAAGAGAGAGAGAGAGAGAGAGAGAGAGAGAGAGAGAGAAGAGCTATTTA